TAAAAGACCTGTTCATTTATCCTCATCATCTTTACTAAGAGTATAAGCTACCAACTGTCAAACTCATTGTTACTTGTTTATTGTAATGGGCATCTGTACATTAACTCTGTTTAGTCTCTGCTTTGTACCAGGCTTTTGGGGAAATAACCTTGGAGCACATAATGAGCATGATAGTCACAATTTCTATCCTACTGATGACTGTCTTTCACATAGTTATTAATATTCATGCTATTTGAATAAAACAAACTGATAAATTCTTGATAATTGGAAATACCTTGTCAGTATTGCCATTGTATGTTTCCAGAGCAAGATCATAGCATTTTTATTATGGAATTTTCATCTAATCGTTTTTTTTTAAGTAAAAATATACAAATAACAAAACACAATTAACAATATGGTTTTAGGAAGTTATGAGCAAATGGTAGTGTGGCTTATCTCATACTATAATATTTTTATCTGAAAATAGAAGAGTAAAACTTAGCTATCATGATCATAAGTCATTACTGTATTTTGAAAGAAACTAATATTGATCATTGTGACATTTGAATTGAAGTACTTATTAAACACATTAGATTTCTCCTCCAACCCTTGGTCTCATGTATAGGTGAGAGATAGTGCTTAATGCCAGATGGCTGGAGCATTTCATCCACTAAGTAAACATTGGTGGCAAGATACTTGCCTCTAAACAATAATGCATGACAGAACATAGAGTGTCTAAAAAACAGGGATTCACCCCTAATTCTTAGCTATTTGTCAGTTTTGTAGCCTTTTAAAAACCTGCAGTGGCTGACCATGCCATGCATTTTGCTCTGGTATAGGAGTACATATATAAGAGTTTTGTAAAGAAAGCAAGAGCAGTTGGTTTTTAGGGACCTTCATTTCAACACTATCCTCTCCTCTGACATCTATTACTTCAGAGTAAAAAAAAAAATCTTGTTTAACCCCTGAATGATCTGAGGTGGTGGTGTGCTTTTCAAGGCAGCCCACACAATGTAAAACTTCCACCAAATGGTGTTTGTGTGATTTTAGCACTCCTGTTATTTACTACTCAATTCTCACAAACTCCAGAAATAGAAATATGAAGGGCCAAGTCTGCTGGCAAATGTGTTATTTTCATCTTGGAGCATATTTGAGAAAATGTTTGGAAGTAAGAGGTCCCTGACCATTGAGAACTTCCAGACGGGAGCCACCGTTGCCCAGGAGTGATGGGAAGGGGCTTTCTCCCAGGGGAGTGCCTTCTGAGCATAAGCCAAGGAAGGTGGCAG